TCTAACCGCAGCTGTTGTTTGAAGAAGAAAAAGAAATTGTTGATCACCAGGTAATTAAGCAGATAGAGATAGCTGCCGCTCTCCTGCCTGAAGGTATTTTTAGGGCAAGACCTACTGGATCATGTTGCATTAACGGCTCCCTGGACTTGTGTGTTAGAAGTGACGGTTGCTTCTCCCCCTTCTTTTCGTGGTCTTCTCTGACTTTTCAAACTTTTGTAACCAGTTCCCAGAAGTGTGTAACGTCTTCACTCAGCATTGTGTGAAAGTCTTCAGTGAGATTCCTCTTTATTCCTGGTGGCCTTGAGAGTGTTTCTTGGTTGGCTTCTGGTTGAATGGAAGCATCAAGTCCTCTCCGGCGAGTCGCACAGGGCCCCCCCCTCCCACCTTATCCCATGAGTTAAACCGCCCCACTCATGATCTCCCCTTAGCTCTACCAGTCAGGGGAAATGACAGTCACAGCCCAGCAAGTCTTAGAACGACAGCTGCACGCTGAACCGTCTGACCACTCACTGATGGGCTCCCGCCCCCTTGTAATTTTTAGCCAACCTGAGGTCAGTAGAACATGTGAGGTGGCGCAACACTTGGTACAACAGAGGGAGGTGGTCTGCATGGGGCATATGTTTAATTTCTAAGTCACAGAGTCTGACATTGCCCCCCCCCTCTATTATGTGTAAGGTGTCAAATTTCATGTGTATCATTCAAAAAAAATTATCATTGGAATAATTATGTGAAGCAACAGTTGGACCATTGAAACAAATATTTTAGGAATCCTTAAGTATTTAGTAGCAAAGGTAGCTGAGGTGGCGTCAGAGGTGCTAACCTGTTGGCTGATGTTGGCTGGTATGTCGCATAATTCCCCCAAAAATGTAGCAAACCAGTGCACATTGTTTTCAGAAACCATAGATCATATATTAAAAAAATATTAGCGTGAGTGTTAATGTTGCATAGCTTTCCCTCCAGTTGGCACTTCCAACGCACAGCACTTTGCAACATCTTTAAGGTAGACCTTAAACAAGTCAATTTATCACGGTCACAAATGTTAGGTCACAAGAAAAAAATATCTGTGGGTTTATCGGAATATCTGTTTTTTAAATCACCAAATACTTCTATCGGTGTCGTTCTTAAAAATCCTTTAGTGGTTGGTCTTATTTTTCTATTAGTCATTACATTCAGTTTACCATCTGTAATTTATGACTGTTACATTGAGTGTTAGAAGTGTTGATGGTACAAAGTTTGCCCACCAGTGGGCCCTCTGGAACTTCGCTGCTGGCAATACACATGTTTGAAGTACCTGACAGCACTGTGGAAGTAACTACACAAACAAATGGTGGAGACATCTGTTCATGATTGATGTGTCTGAATCATGGACTTAACAACTATCAGCTGACATTGAAACGTATTTTGTCTCTATCTGCCATTCTGCAATTCATCTCATGTAAACAATAACGTGGCGCACAGCGTGACGTGAAAAAGGGCACATACCTTTGACTTTGCCTGGCGAACTCTGTATTCCTCGTCCACACGTAAACGCAAAAAAGCAGTTTTAAAAAAAATCTCCGTTTTTGGTGATTCGAAACGCTGTTCATGTGTGGACGAAACAGCTGCGTTTTCAAAAATAGCCGTGTAAATGCGGACGTAGCATAAAAGAGTTAGTAGTTTATTTTCTTACTACCTGTAATTTATTGCAGATTACTTGTATTTGCTTAATTGTTTACTAAATGTTTGAGGCTGAAATAAACCGCAATGGAGCAAAATATGGGTGTGTGTGGTTGGAGGATGTGTGCGTGCGTGTGCGTGCGCGCGTGCGCGCATGCACGCGGGGGAGGGGGGGGGACGAACATTTTTCTTCTAAAACAAGGGGGGGCCTAGCAAAAAAAGTTTGGGAACCACTGCCCTAAAGAATTTATTGTTTTGTTTGTTTCTTTATTTTATTTACTAATGTTCGATGTTTATTATGGATGTTTTACTTAATAAGGTTTAACGTGAGAGACTTTTTCCTCACCAAGTAAAGAGACTTATGACTCTGAAGTCCAACACTCTATAGACAAGGAAATAAAGTTAAACCTTATAAAACTGACACAAAAACTGAATCTGGAAGTGGCTTTCCATCAACAAACCCAAATTTAAGTTGTATAATTGTGTATATAATTGTTCTTTTATCACAAACTGTGCCCAAAACAGCTCAAAAAACCTGCGGTCTCCCAGTATTGCTACACATTTAGTGCTAGCATGCTAGCTTTGCACATGTAGTTGTACTAATACTAATATCTATATTTATACCTATATCTCTAGGGGGTGGGATTAAATAAGTG